GAATTGATCTTGATATTTTAGACTGACCGGAGGCCGTATTTCTACAGGAGCGGCTTATACTCGCAGTCAGAGTGCGAAGTTTACTACGATGGCCAGGCGTCAGAGGGATTTGACCAAGATTGTGGACACGGTACCGGCTCAGGACGATATAGATCTAGACGAGCGAGTGGTTAATTTGCCTCCTTGTGCTGAGAAAAACGCTAGGATGGAAGAGGACTCTGTGGATGTGCCCATGGAAGACCTGAAACTGGGGGTTGCGATCACAGACAGGATTGTACGGTATACCCACGAGTTGTATGCACATGCAAGTGCCAAACGTTTGTATCAGCTGGTAGCGGCATGATGGAAATGTTCACTCGTTTGCGTCAGAGCTGTGATGCCTGTCAGGCGGTGTCTGATGACTTGGGGAAGGAGAAGGGCCTACTCCAACAACCGTCGCGACCTGAGGAAGCAATGCGTGAGATTTGCATGCACTTCATGGTCTTTGACTTGGTTACCGGACAGTCCAAGGTGCTACTGGCGGTGGATACGTAGACTTGCATGATGTTTATGAGGATGTTCGGTCCGAATGTGGACGGGCCATCGGTGGTCCGATTCATGGAGGAACATGTTTCGGCTTGAGGCTCACCGGCGCGCCTTGTTATGGATGCGGACAAAAAGTTCCATAATGGAGATGAAACGACGTTCTGTGAGCGTCGTAACATAAAAGCCGCACTGGATCACGGTGAACCGGCATCAGAGCAACGGGCGGCCAGAGACTATCAGGATGATAAAGGACTGGTTGCGCAGGGAGATTGAGGAATCGGATGATTCTCCGCATGCGTGGTTGCATCTGGTGCGGATCTACAATGCCACACGCAGTTCTGTCACTGGGTTCTCGCCCTACTTCCATATGACGGGCAGAAACTTCAACGGGCAGAAACGGTTGGGGTTGCAGGACAGGGTACTGTCGCTCTTGGAATCCGAGAAGGGCACAGAGGATATGGGTTTTGATGCCGTGGCGGCTGTTCGTGATCGGCGGGCTCAGCTGGAGCAGCAGAGTCGCGTCAACATCAAGCGCGAAGATGTACCATTGCTGCCGGTGGGTTCTCAGGTTTGGTATAGGTTGCGCGGCAAGTCTTATGACCTGTTTGCGCGATGGGATGGTCCAGCGAAGGTGGTGTCAGTCCAGGCTCTACTTACACACGTGGTGGAGATGGCAGACGTCACTCATCGCAAGTTTTTGCGGGCTGAGTTGAAACCGCATGTTGGGAAGCTCACAAAGGAAGCAATCGCCAATGCGGTACCGCCTGAATGGTCCCTTTCAGGATTGGTTAATGTATAATTTGCCACATTGTGACTCCAAGGACGGGTACAAACAGGCGGTAGGGCATTGTCTGAGGCGCACTAAGAAGGCCCGAACGTGGTCAGACGTCATGAGTTCGGTTTGGGGCCGTTGGCAGATGTGGTGTGACGAGGCTGCAATGGAGTGTTATACGCCTTTGGCGCCAGGGCCTAGAACAAAGCATGTGTCCCCATAAGCAGTAAACCAAGCTTTTGAAGCGCATGTTTTCGAATGAGGAGAAGCGAGCGCATTTCAAGCGCTAGGTCGAGAAGTACTTAGCCTTTGCGCAGTCGGCAAAGTACCGAAGGGGGACGTCTTCGAGCTTGGGGCGAGTTGCAAGTGTCCGAGGACGGAGTTGAGTTACCAGCACACCGCTAGTTGCCGGTAGGAAAATCCTCAGGGGTTGACGTAGGGTGGCGGAACTCCACCTCCCACGTGGGGTTGGTTAGAATGATTCCTTTGCATGTACACAGGAGGTGTACATGGGTGGATCTTTTTGTTTTTAGTTGTTCTTTCTTTAGACGTATACGGAGCAGGGGCCGTTAGGCGACAGTGCTCAGACACAGCGAAACTACCGTGACAGTCACACAGGTTGTAGTGACATGCAACCGTAGCGAAGGGTTGTGATTGACTGTGAACTGAGCCCTAAGGTTTTAGGATTAGGTTTTAGGATTAAGGCCGGCCAGGCCTGTCATCAGTTTTCAATAATTTGTGTCAACAATAATTTGAGCGTATACTCACGTGGGGGAATTCACATGTCAACAATATTTGATTCTGCATAGAAAGTGTGTGGCACAAGAAGTGTCACACGTTACAACACTACTGTAATCACCAGTACGGGGAACTTGTCATAAACTGTAGTGTCGTCTAGACTAAGAAGTACTAACAATACATATACATATACATGTATACATATATATACATATACATATACATATACATATACATCTACACACAC